TTTCTCTGAAATATCCAACCATGAGTGTACATTAATTCATTACTGAAATGATCTTGCAAATTAGGCCATCAAGTGTATATGTGACCAGATAATGAACTCTGCAAATGAAGTAGGACAGGATAAAATATCTAACCAGTTGTCTTAACTGTAACAGAGAATGGAAAAATTACTGATTTGGGGAGACTTCAAATGTTTGGTCAAGGTGAGAATAGTGGGCCTGAAAGCAAAACAATAAGGGCGAAGAATGGTGGCAAATAAAATCAATATCTGTCACACCCACAAGGGCGATTAGCAATCGTCCTCATTTGCCGGTCCAATACTTAAAGCTTGGCTGCACTAACAACAGTTGCGAAGTATTGTTGCCATGTACCTTGGCAGACCGTGGGGTTCTCTGGCTCTGCTCTTGACTGGTTTTACTCCTTTCTGAGCAATTCAGTTGGTGTTGGTGATTTTAATTCAGTTAATAATAATAATAATTGATAATTGATACTTTATTGATCCCCGTGGGGAAATTGTTTTTGTTACTGCTCCTCTTACTTGCGGGGTGCCGCAGGGTTCAGTTCTTGGACCATTGTTGTTTTCGTTATACATTAATCCATTGTCTTATATTGTTAAAGCTTTTAAAGGGGTTTCCTATCACTTTTATGCAGATGACATTCAGCTGTATATTTCTTTCAAACCTAATCAGATTCATAAATTGTCCATTTTAGTAGACTGCTTGACCAAGATTAACATCTGGCTCTGCAATAACTACCTGAAGTTGAATTCTGGCAAGACTGAGGTCCTAATTGTTGCTCCACCTGTCCTTTACTCTGAGATTGGGCTCAAGATAGCCTCTGTATTTCCAGCCGCCAAGTTGAGCCTATGAAATTTGGGGGTTATTATGGACCAGTGTCTAAGTTTGGACTCCCATGTCAGGTCTGTCAGTCGGTCTTGTTTCTTTCATTTAAGAAATCTGTCTAAATTGAGGTCTGTCGTCTCAAGATCTGAATTGGAGATGCTTGTTTACGCTTTCATTTCTTCACGACTTGATTATTGCAATGCTTTATTCACGGGTTTGAACAAGGCCTCCGTTGCCCGGCTTCAATCTGTGCAAAATGCAGCCGCAAGGCTTGTAACTTGTGCAAACCGCAGGGCACATATCACTCCCATTTTATTTTCCCTACATTGGCTTCCTGTTGAGTTTAGAATTAGATTCAAAATTTTGGTGCTTACTTATAGAGCTTTAAATGGTCAAACCCCTGAATACATTTTTGCCTTTCTGCAATATTATACAGCACAGTACACTAAGGTCAGGTCAGCAGAGTTTTTTAGTTGTGCCACGTACTCGCCTAAAGACCCATGGTGACTGTGCTTTTCATGCAGTGGCGCCTAGACTTTGGAATAGTCTTCCATTAGCATTGCGTGATGCTGAGTCAGCTGAAGCTTTTAAAAATCAATTAAAGACATTTCTTTTTAGGCAAGCATTTGAGGTGTGCTGAGGATACTTAGGGTTTTTTTTTTTATAAAAGAGTTTTTGCCGTCCGTGCTGTGTATGTATGTAATGTCAAACTATGTCAAATCGTATATTATACTGTATGTGAAGCGCTTTGTGACTTTTTGTCTGTGAAAGGTGCTATATAAATAAACTTTACTTACTTACTTACCGGAGCATTACCGAGCATTCATCTGTCTTGTGTTTCCTCTCCTTTCCCTGCCTGTGTCGTCGTGCCTTGCTGTCTCGCCTGCCCTGCATCCCTGCCTGGTCCCGCTCGCCCTGCCTTCATCCCCGTTCCTGCTTGCCTCGCTTGTCCTGCCCGCCTGATCCACTCGCCCCGCCTGATCCATCCCCTCGTCTCATCATCCTGTCCCTCTTTGTAGGACTGATTTCCCCGGCTTCGACCCTTCAGGCCCGACCCGACTACTCTCACGGATTTCCCTTTTGGCACTGTGTGTTATCGGCTTTGTTTGCATTAATAAACCCGGCTCCTGCATTTCGGGGTGTGCCTCCTTCCTGGATCGGCATCGTAACAATATCCAAAATGGATAAATTAGAAAAAAATTGTGTGTCACAGAAATGACCTGGAGACAGAAATGTGGTTCAGAATCCCATATCATCAATGAAGTTTAATTTAAGGAAGTTATGCAAATAATAATAATTATTATATAATATCAAGAATGACAATAAGTGTCACATCCCAATCGTTCTGATCCCCGCTCTGTGCCTGCAATTCATGACAGAACGACCAGACTCAACAAGAAGACACCTCATCTTACTGAGGTGGCGTACCTCAGTCTAGTCGATGAGGTGATATACTGACTCAGACAGTCCAGGAGGACCCCACGACTCGAGCCCTTGCTATACAGTCGAGGGATAACCTGGAAGAAATCTCCTCGTCCGATGACCCGCACCGTGTGGAGGACGTGCGAGAAAGCCTTCTGCAGCTGAGGAGTGGAGTAGCAGAGACGCTGATCAGGCAGGTATCCCTGGATTGTGGACTGCCTTATTCTCTGTTAGAACTGCCTGAACCCATCCCTGGCTCTGACTAAAGTGGCAGGTAAAAAGAAGTGGAAGAATCGCGGAGAAGCAGATTGCTCCATCCCTGTTGGGAACCCCCGTCTCCATTCCAGCGGTTCCCGAGATGCCTCCCAACACAGAGTCTTCTGTTCCCTGACTTCCAGTGTGCTCAATCTCCTTAGCCCCAGTTCCTGAGGTTCCCGTTTATGTCCCAGTTCCTGCACGTGTCCCAGCTTCAGGTCCCATCCTGGCTCCAGTTCCCGTGTCTGCGCCAGTTTCTGTCCCGGCTGCAGACCCTGAGTCCTGGCTCCAGTTCACATCCCAACTCCAGACCCCATGGCCACCCCGTTTTGGAAGATCCCAACCAGGACCCTGTCTCTCTGTCTCTTGCAGAGGGTGAGGCCACTTATGCCGGGGTCAAATTCCCACCCACCCTGCCCCCGGGTTTGCCTTCAGTCCCCGTTGCTTCTGCCCAGCAGTCGCTGATGGTTCCTCCACCTCCTGCTTGGCTGTCGCCTGCAGTCCCCTTGGCTCCTGCTCAGTGGTCGCGTGCGGTCTCCCCTGCAGTGACTCACTTGTCTATGATCCCACCTGTGATGACTGCTTGGTTGCCTGCGGTTTCCCCAGCTCAGCCTCATCAGTCGCTTAAGCCATTGTTGGCTGTGGCAGTCTCTTCAACTCTCTCCTCGCCCCCTCTGATGTCACCAGTTGCTGAGGGTCTCTCCAGCAAATGCGTAAGTTACTCAGAATTTAAACCTAATGGTAACTTAACTGATATGATTCCAGATGCAGTAATACTGCACAGCGTACTTGGCAGCAAGTCAGGATGAAATATAAAAACATCATGACAAGTGGTACGGCTATGTATTTATACTCATTATGAAATATTTGTGTGTAGCCTCCAGATAATAGTGTGTTTCTATGTGTCACAGCTAATAAGAAAAAGCTGTCTATAAAGGCAACAGGTGGAGGGTCACCTCCAGAAGCCTTCAGTCGTGCTGAAGAGTTGGCAGTAGCCAACAACGTAGGACGGCCCATCATGGAGGGGGTTGAGGGTGGTGTCCGGTCAGACCCTGGTGCCTCAGATATGTGCACCCTTTATGTGCAGGGTAATATTGCAATAACATTGCACAAATTATCATGCTGTACAATCATGAAATTTAAATTCATGTGTTATGTGCAGTGGAGGGGGGTAATATGCAAGTGCTCCAGCCACCTGCAGAGCCCCGCACCTCCTGTGACCCTCAGATACAGGTAAGTGCAGAAATGACTAGGTGTGCCCAATGTTGATGCATCTTTACTTGTATTCCTTTATTGTTCAGGAGGACTTGGGTGAGGACACTTTGTCGGCATTGTCTCACAGGCACATCCAGGTAGATGCATTGCATCACATGTGTGATTTCCCCCAGGATAATACAGTATAGCGTGGCATTTAGACCTCTGCACAGATTCTGTGATTCTACTGTCCTTAAGTTGTAATTTGCATTCTCCCTTAGGAGGCGTTGCAGCAACCCCCTTCCCCTCCTGCGGCTTCCTCCACTCGGACCTCCCACACGGAAAGTGTACTTTTGCTTTGTCTTTGACTCTTCGGGTTCATAAGCTGCATGTGCACTGCTTCACCATTTCATGCGTTTTTTTCCCCCCTGTGTAGGCAGGGTTTCCGCGGGGTTTTAAAAAGTATTAAAAGGTAGTAAATCACATAAGCAAAAATTAAAGCCATTAAAAGGTATTACACGCAAATTTACAAGGTATAAAATTTTAGATTTAGATTTTTTTCAGTCATCATGGGTAAGTGCAAATTTGCACACAAGTGGTTAGAGGACCTGGCGTTTAAGGACTGGCTAAGGCCGGTAGCAGGAAAATATCGAGAGGGTTACTGATCGGTTAGCAAAAAAAAAACATAAATATCACCTGGATGAGGGTTAGCGCTCTCTGGTCGCATATGCGATGCACAACTCATACTGTAAATCAGGAATGCATGGATGAGAGCAGTTAGTCAACTGCTGCAAATCGACAAACTCATTGAAGAAAAAGCCAAACAATTAAGGCACTTGCCATGAATAGCCTAGTGGATAAAGATATGGACTTATTGTGTAACATTATAAATTTTTAAATCAGTTTGAAACTTGTTTAAAAATGATTGCAACTCAAGGCCGTGCGGGTTTTAAAAAATATTGAGAAAGTATTAAAAAAGGTATTGGAAAGTGTTAAATTTAACCTCTGGATTTCTGTATATACCCTGGTAGGCTAGAACAGACAATGTGCGTTCCCTTTACAAGCGCATGCTTGAGTTGGACTGCAGGAGGAAACAACTGCAAATAAAGAAACTGAAGCTTGAAATTCAACAGCTCGAGCATGAAAAGAGAGTATTGCTATACATTCATCAGTATTACATCTATATATGTACCATGATTAATATATCACTTTTACTTTGTAGGAGAGGGAGAGTGGAAACCAATAAAACAATCATACTTCAATGTGGTCATGATCTGAGTTTTTTATTTTAATGAGTGAAACACTGGTTTGTGATTGCATCTCTCACTGCACGTCCTGTGGGGTGGTCGAGGGTCACAGGGTCAACAATGTCTGGAGGCATGGGCAGCGGAGTAGGGGTCTTTTCTTTTCTAATAGTTGCAATATTATGTAGCACCACACATGCTGACACCACCTGACAGGCCCTCTCCGGCCGTACTCGTAGGCCTTTGAGGCAAGTAAAACGTGCCTTTAGAATGCCAAATGTCATTTCTATCCTGACCCTTGTTAGGCTGTGAGCAGCATTGAATTGTATTTGGGGCCTTGTTAGAGTGTCAGGATAAGGAGTTACCAAGTGCTTCAGGCATGGGTATCCCCGGTCCCCCAGCAACAGGCCATCAAAATGCCCTTTGAAGAAATTGAGAGCAACTGTCACACGCAAGTTTGTGCAACAAAATCTGTAGAATACTGATTGTCTTACCTTCTTCAAATCTTTGAGAGAGAATGGACTGAAAATGCGAGAGTCATGTACCACCGTGCGTCCAGGCTTGTGACCATTAACTGGTGATCACATGTCATCTAAGGATTGAAAGCCATTCCAAAGCTTATTCTGCTATTCTAAAGTCATGTTCATATGACACATAATACAAGTTGAGCCAGTGTTTCACAAGCAAATGTACAACAGGACTAAACATAGGCATATGTGTAGTGAGGAAACAACTATAGGACCTGTCTAACTTTTCCTTAAAGAGAAATACAGTGATACCTCTGTATGCATCCTTAGTATGTTCTATACCCTTGGACTTATACCTAACAGGATGTGTTCCGAGGTAGCACTGTACTATCAAAATAGTGCATCAGTCATGACAAATATACGTTAGAGAAGAAGCCAACAAATTCCAAATCACCACCTTATGTGAGGAGAAGGTGAACCTAAGGTACACTTGTAGTCACTAGCCCATATATCAGATCTAAAAGCATATTATGAGAAAAATACCTGTACATTGATGCTGTGAATAGATTTGCGATTCACATAATCGCCCTCGTGCTCTCCCAGGGGTGCACTGATTGGGATGTGTGTGCAATCGATGATGCCTATGACCCTTGGGAATCCTATGAGAAATTGTGTCAGCAGAAGCAATTTCCCTATGACAATAGAATAATTTCATACTGCGATTTACCTGCGATTGCATGAAACCCTTCTTTATTCCGCAGAGCACTTAAATGACCAGGGAAAACCACAAATGCATCCAACAGTTTAGATAGAGCAAGCACCACTTTGCGAACCGCACGGCAAACAGTATTTTTGCTCAGATGTTCAGCATCACCGATGGAATACATAAACTGGCCACTGGCAAAGTATCGCAGTGCGAGGCATACTGTATGCTCGATTGTGAGGGCATTGCTGCGGCGAGTGGAATTAGAGACCTCTGGACCGAGCAACTGGCAGAGGTAACGAATTCCCTCAGATGAAAATCTGTACCTTTCATGGAGAATATCGTCTGGGTATGCCAGCGGATTCTGGCGATCTCTAAAAACCCTCGCCCTGCGGAGATAGCCCCTCACGATTCGCGCGCCAATGTCGTACAGATCATCCAGGTACGCCGGCATTGTTTTCGGAGAAATTGTAGTGGGAGGGGCGGTGCTCATATAGGGCTGGCTTACGCGGAAACCTCGACTTAACCAAGAACAAAAACTGCTCGGAGCAGTTTTGAGACTTAGCGTAAATTGCCATAGCAACATGTCTCGACTAAAACCTACCCACCTTTCGTGGTACGGGTTAATCGTGAAGTTACACCACACATCATCAAGTTACTCGCAAAGTTACCCCGATAAGCCAGTAAACCCGCTTCGTAGTACAGGCCACAGGTTAACTGTCTCAGTTAGTTAAGCGTTGTCTCAAAGAACGTCCAATGTGTGGGAACAGATTCCCAAAAGATCATTCCCTCGGACGGAATTCCGCAATCTTCCTACTCATGTCATGTAATCTGTTGAATTACGTGTCCTCATCTGACATAATATTTGACATTATCTGATTGAATTATTTTTGTTAATCTGTAAGGTGTATCAAAATGACATGATTTTGTTTGAGTTAGCGGGAGAGTGACTCTTGTATATACGTATATAAAAAAATGGAAACCTGTAGTCAGTGCTGTGAGTCAAAGCAAGACGAGAAAGCAGAGAATAAAAACCGTCTTTTCGGAAGTAATCCTCTGCGTGATACTTCCATAATATGCTGAACAGAGCTGAGATTGCTACACAATCAATATAATAAAGCCTATAAAATCACGTCTTAGCATTCCACTTAATTCCAAAATAATTACAGTAAAATCCCGTTATAGTGGACACGCTTATAACGGAATTTCACTTATAATGGACAAACAAATCAC